AACGACAATTTTCATTTAACCATGAAATGTAAAAAGCCGCCATTTTGACTCCAGTGCGTTTACAAGTCTATGACGTCAAGTACTTGTCCTAGACGTGACGTCACAACTGAAACAATTGAAACTTACCACCAATCACAGGGCTGATAGGTCATATTACGCAAGAAAATATGACATGGGTATATATATTCACTGGATAACACAGTACATTATTTATATATAAATGTGATAAAAAGGGATTTGGCAATAAACAGAGTGATATAAATCAGGGGACATTGAAATATGTTGGCAATAAATAGAGAATAATACATGCCTTTTTCCATATCACACCCAGTATCAACCCGAGACTGCAATATCAGCCCAAGGACCGAAGGCTTAATTATACCGGGTGTGATATGGAAAAAGGCATGCTTTATTCTGTTTATTACATACTTACTAATAAAAGCTACTATATTATGATATATTTTTCTTTTGAAATATTTAAAAATGAAATTTTCAAAAAGGGGTGTGATACGGGTTTTGCTGGCTGATACGGGTTTTGGGGTGTGATACGGCGGGGGCTGATATGGCTTTTGGGGTGTGATACGGCGAGGGCTGATATGGGTAAGAGCAATTGTGTCGTATCGCATATACAAAAACCCCGTAATTATTAGTAAGTATGTAATAAATGAAATGATCGAGGTGCAATAAATTAAGAATTTCAACAGGTCGTCAAATTTGACACTACGTTTGTCAAATATTAGCACTAAAGTCTCAAAAGATGTTCGTACTTAGTTTCATGTCCAAAGCCTTTCACGAAGATAGATTTTAAAAAAATCTATACTTAAAGCCATTTCGTTTTGTTCCCAGTAAAAAGTGAAGTATATATTACCTGGTAATTACCAAAGCTAGACGACTATACCTGGTACCATTCACTATAAGTAGTCAATACAGACTGAAGATCGTTCATTACAACTAACAATCACTATCGTAGATAAGTCTATAGATCTCTTTCCTTGATCAAGGAGTTCTATAGATCTAAGGCTATTCTTTTTCTTATTCAACGTTGAGTAGAATATTCTAAAACCCTGTTTTACTTTACTTAGTTGTAAGGTTATTGAAAGCAGATGAGAACGGGTAATCCAATCCTTTTCTCTTCAAATAGTTTCTTCATTTTTTGCAAGAAGTATTTGGTTTGTTTGTGTTTTACGTCCTATTAACAGCTATAGTCGTTTAAGGACGTGTCAGGTTTTGGTGGTGGAGGAAAGCCGGAGTTCCTGGAGAAAAACCACCGACCTAGTAGCCAGTACCTGGCGACTGCCCCTCGTACATGTAGGTCTCAAACCCACGACCCAGTGATAGTGGGCTGGTGGTAGCAGAATGTCAGACGCCTTAACCACTCGGCCACCACAGCCAGGAGAACCACAAAATTATAATATATCATTAATGTTGTCACCATCAAGAAATATTTATTAAGTTTTATTTACCATTTATTAAAGTGTTCCATATGAACCACATCTGGTAATAATAATAATCTGAGGTTCTTATATATATACCGCTTTATCACAACCTAGTTCATAGGTCGTCTCAAAGCGGTTCACAAATTATTGCCCAAGGTTATAGGGCCTTTGCAACCAGCCAATATCTTTCTCAACTCCCTGGGGAGCATACAGGCGGTGCTGCTATTTCGGCACTCACAGCTAGCATTCTACAATTCTAGCACTGCCTAACTAAATACTCATTTACAGCTGAGTAGACTGGAACAAGCGGAGTAAAGTATCTTGCTCAAAGATACAACACAGTGCCGTGCTGTGCCGTGCAGTGCCGTGACTCGAACCAGCAACCCTTCGGTCACGAGCCCGGCATCCTACCACTAGACTACCGTGCCTCCTGGTGATCACTGGTGATTTATTTTACATTATATACCCATAACAGTTTATAAATATTATGAAGAGGAAAAATATTTTTTTTTATTAAGAAAGTTCTGCAAATGTGTGGAATAACTTACCAGAAAATGTACTATTTGCAAATAATTTAAACTGTTTCAAAAATGAACTGGATAAACACCGGAAAAACATTGATTTATTATATAACTTCAAAGCTAATTTATAAAGTGTCGCTACAATCAAAAAAAAAAATTATTATAACAATTACTATGTTTTGAGTCTGGTGTAGAGGTTATAATATCCTTTACCTGAAATCTATCATTAAATCATTAAATATCATTATCGAAAATTTGAGTAATTGAAAACAAAAATTGAAATATCATCAATTTTGTTATACTCTCAAGTAATGTTTTGAAACTATTTTGTCTACGAACCTGAATTTTCCTGCATTTTTGAGAGACAAGTGCGGAAAAAGAAAAATTGACATTATGATGAACATTCGATTCCTGTATCAGTTAAATAAAATCTACAATGGTGTGATTTATGACCCTACAAGATCTACTAATACTGGTACATATCTCCCATAACTGTATATGCATATTTCAATAAGTAAACAACCACACAAATTGGACACTGGCTTATCAATTAAGTTCACCGTCAATCAAATACTTTAAATCAATTTTGAGATACAACAATATCTGGCCGAGAGTAGCGAAATCCCATTTGTTTAATAACACTATACACAGCTTGATCATATAACTGAGCTTAGCAGTTTATTGAAAATCTTTCAGCGTTATTTAAACACCAATTCAAGTCCACCGTCAACATTGCTGATTATAAGCCTCTTACAGTATGGAATTATACACTACAAGGCTGTATCAGAGGCCGAAGGAAATACAGGTCAACTTTAATCCCTTTCTTTAAAAAGGTGTGAACTTGTTATTTCTTTTTTTCCAATTCTTGTAATGTCAAAATTTCTGATAATCCTTTATCACTTCTGATCCATGTCATGTACCTCTATAGGAAATTTATATATTTCTGCTTCAAAGAGAAGATTTATGAATGAAATATTTTCGATCTTACCCTGTCCGAAGCTTGCCATGAACGCAGGGTGAACTTACAATGCTGTGTTAACCAAACAGCCTTCTGTGAAATCTATAATACATGTTTGATATTAACTACTGCTTTCAAGTGCACTCTCTCTGATGTATCTCATTATGTTTGTGAAGTAAGCTCTCCAAAGAGTCCTCAGTATATATAAAGAAAAGGCAACAGTTTACTTTTCAAAAATGGAAACTCTTTTCTTCCACACAAAAGAGAAATATTTACAACTTTTACAAAAGACAAGTAGAAATTAAGTTAACACTTAAGCTATCTCATACATGTGGGTCACAGGATTTGTCTACCGAACACTTTGATTAACAGTAAAATATATCAGAAAAAAATACAATAATTGTCTCTTCTGAGATAATTTTCCCTTACACCAACTTTTTGTATCTATAAAAGAAAAGGAAAAATGAAACAGCCAGGAAAGGATTCGAACCCAAGACCTCTTAACTCTAGGTGGATACACAGATAAACTGAGCTACCTGGTCACTGGGGGTGGGCATGGTCCAGTTCCGTCACACTTCCCTTTTCGACAACAAAGTTTTCAACCCAGAAGACACGTCAAGGAGACACCATTACAATTTACACAAGTATATTTATTACAGAGGAAATTGTTAGGACAGAAAAAATATGCAAATCTAAAAACTGGGCCGCATGCATATGGGACCTCCAAACTCTTAAAATAGGACACTTTGAATTACCTGGTCACTGAATATTTAAGAAGTCGGAAAATGGTTTCTCCAAATTTTCAGAATAAAGGTTTATCACGTTTTATTCTGCTTTAACTGTACATATTGGTCCCTTGCTAAAATGTTAATCTTTTTTTTTAAAACAATTGTGTTAATTAAGATATGAACCTATATTATTCACTTTCGTTGGCCTGGAAATGTGTAGCGGGTCTTCATTTGGGAGAATATTAGGGTATTCAGAAAAATACATGCATTTCCTGACACAAGATCATTATTGTAAGGTCTCTAAGTCTCAATCAGGAAATTAATTTTATAAGCCTGTATGCAGACCTCAATTCATTTTCGTTTTTCCCATACTAGTTATCCCTGAAAAAATAAAGCAGCTTTCCTTCACATATAAACTATCAATATTACAACCATCTACTAAATCTACTTAAACTTATCCCAAATATTCCTTTCCCTATTATAATCATGATCATCATAGATATTGGATATTTCTTAAACAATATGGCTAAAAATTTCAAGAAAGGGACTTATTTCTACTGTGAATTTTAGGAGTATCGAAAAAGTATCATGTCCACAAGTTTGGTGATATCATATATATATGTGGGATTCACAGAATTCATTGAAAAACTGCAGGAGTTGTCTGGACAAGATGAAGCTAAGTATTTTTAAATAGGCCATTAGTGTAATAAAATAGTGGTATCGAAAAGGAAAGCTCAGGTGCACAACATCACATTGAGGTGACTACAGTGGTGTATTTTTTATAATGTTCCACAAAATTGTGTGAAAATCTGGACATGATTTTGGGGTATTTTTTTGTCATAGGGACATGACATCCATTAAACCATGCAGTTTTGAAAAATGATGTGCAAGTGCACAACTACAGATTGCAGCGACTACATCAGTGATTTAACACGAAAATTTAGATGAACATTTTGTGATTTTTCTGGATAAGGTTGGTTTATAGTTTGTAATAGTGCATACATTTGTATATATATAACTCTGACTTAAAAAGTATGCAAATGTACCCAACTTCAGCTTTGATAAATCATTTCTGAAAAGAAAGTCTTACCTTGCGGGAATTTTATGAGAAAAAAATAAATATGAAATAAACAAAATATAATCAACAACAACAGTGTTAAGAGTGTAAACACCCAGTGGGGCCAGACTGGGATTCGTACCCTGGACCTCACATAGTTAGACTATCGGTCTAACCGATTAAGCTACCTGGCCCAACTTTATCCAAACGGAAGTTAAGGGGTGGGGGTTACTGTAATAAAAGAATCCTTAAATGCTGTGTGGTACGTTACACTTTCCCCGCGTGCGTGAACCAACTTACCCTGTCAGGCTGACGGGCGTCCACCACCACGCCCATCAGAGCAGTGTACGGGGCATTGTTGACGGACCTGAAAGTTAATTTAGAAAATCAGTTAATGACAAATATTACCTAATTACAATGTCCTATTAATTAGAGGATTGTATGCTATGATTAGTTTCTATATGTAATTCATGTTAATTATCATTTTGCAATTTACCACTTCTTTGTGTCTTTCAGACCGCGTTCATTGCCGAATAAACATCTTTTAAAGTATACGGAACAGAGTCCCATTTACTAATACATTTAGTGGCAGTCAAGTTAAAAATATCCAGATAGACTTAAGCAACTAAATTTTATATACTTTCCTCTCCTTTGCCTAAATTATTCCAAATAAAAACAATTCAATCTTCATTTTAACAAAAGTTCACTCAGTGTTTGAAAGTAAAGGTGATTTCTACACAACAGACCGTTACTTCATCAATAATTGTTAAGATTGGAAGGTTAATTAAATAAAAATATGACACAATCCTCACGTTCACACACATATATATGTCAATTTCAGTCAATTCAAAACTATAATATGTGACAGAAGGCACCCTAACACACGGACGATGCTGATTGGTTTTCACATTCAATCCAAAATCTAACTCTTTATATTTGAATAAAAAAATTATGAAGGCGCTTGGTAAACCTACTGTCTTTAGAAAATTAAAAATTTACTAGGTTCGATAAACATGATAACCATACATCATTAATAAAGAAACTCAATTTCTTATTCTCAAAATGTATAGCTATGATTCCGATGTGACAGTAATTGTTCATTATGAGATAAGAGATTGTTTAGCCCAGTGTTTGAACTTAATGGTAGACCCACAGACTTTTACCATGAACATCACTACATGTCTAGGTCTCTTTGAATCAATGACTTCATAGACCAAATTGTCTATGATATTATTTCTGATAATGTGTATGATTGATTCATTTATAAGTGTAGTAATTATACGTAAAATGTACTTAAAAAAGGTCAAGGTATGGTCTATCAAAAATAATTATTCAGCAAATATCATTACAGGACCACATCCCAGATGTCCAACCTGGAGTACGCGTACGTGGTAAATTAATGTGTACACATGTATCCAATGTATTCATTTCCCATTCAATATTATTTTTTTATGAAAAAGGAACATCTATATATGCTGAAATACAAATTTTGCTGAAAGTTTCTGTCTTCACCAAAAAAAATTAAACATGGAACTTTTTTTCGTAAACATCTACATACATACAACCCACATAATTACAGCTGAATACTGTAACAGCCTATCTAATATCTAAACCCTGATTTTTTTTCCGGGGAGTGTTGGGGGGGGGGGGGGGAGGTATTTTCATTCACTGCATTTGGTATCATGACATTAGAAATTAAAAACCTTATCGCACTGAAAAGTATATTTCATTTTTTGTAAGCATTACAGTAATAACTGCCACCAGCGAACATTGTTTCTAAACTAAGCTTTTAAGTTTTATAACACATAAATATATGGGGAATTATATTATGATTATTCGTCGACGTATAGCAACCAGCAAACACAGGTTACAGCATCTGGTAGTTTACTATCGCTATTGTGACATTTACTGCAATCAAGATAGGCTTACCAACAGATCAAAAATCAATGTTTCTAACATTACCTGTGAGAATGGTACGAGAATAAAATATAATAACAACACATTTATTTCATTCCTGAATCAATATATTTATATTATGTTTCAAGTCAAAGCTGATGTGATCTTGTCTATTTTACTAAGTAACATTACATTGTCTTAGGGTTGATTCATGATTGATTTTATCTCAAGACACTCTTGCAATGTCAGACTTGGCTCGGGTGTCGTCTGCATTCGAGATTGGTAGCTAACAACGATTGCATGACACAAGCCGATGTAAAAAGATTTTTTTTAAGTGGCAACCTTACTTGCAGTAGGAGATGGTAGCCTTAGGTGCAGACGGTGGAATATTTGGGAAATATGAAGTCGACAAACGACCCTTCAAGGGATGCGATCCCATCGTCGATACATCCGCCATGCTTGATCTCTCGGACTGGACCTGATCACTCAGTTGGTATATCCTTCCGATAAAATAGGGCACTAAGTAAACAATGGTCGTTTTGTTATTCTGTATATTATTTATATGATGATATACATATATTATCACAAATACACATGTTGTTACTCTCTGTGGTATAATGAGCGTTAGTTAGTGCTTTTTTACCTGGTATTCCACTAAATCAACGTAACTATGGACGCAATTTAAAGTCCGCGAATTAATTCGCGCAATCTACTTCCGGAGTAAACATTGCCACGTGCTTTTGTGCTCGCCTCCTATCAACGTACGAAACATGTACAATCACTTTTCATTTTTTTTAATAGTAGGATTTAAACAAGAATGACATGTTTTATTGGAAAAGAATAATAGACGCCTCAATATATGAAAGTGCATGTCTATATACCAGTGTATGTATGTGCATGACAGAAGAACTTTAGTCTACTAAATAATATACACGTTGGTTGGTTGTATAGAGCATAACGTCCTATCAACAGCTAAGGTCATTTAAGGATAATTTATTGATGAAATTATACTTGTACTTTTGTATTTCAAAAAATAAAATTTTACATATTTGGACAATTAATTGATACCCGTTATTGCACTTGTGCCTTATATATTGGTAAGACATAGAGAACATATACGGGAAGTGTTCATCTCTACAACAGACTGAAAATGAAACGGATAAGATTATCACATTTCAAATATGCAACAAATTAATCAAGTAAATGCTAGACAACAAGGCATATACATCCAAAACCATGTCATTGATTAGAAGAAAGCATGCAATAATTTTAATTCAAATATGGGTTTAAAAACTATTGAAAACGACTACTGCAGTTGTCAACATAAAGTTGGTACATTAGTTCGGTACTGAAGTCTAGCATTGGCAGTAAAAGACGCTGACTCCTCGGCTCTACCACAGACTTGTTATCTTGGTTGGTTGGTGCATTAGTTCGGTACTGAAGTCTAGCATTGGCAGTAGAAGACGCTAACTCCCCGGCTCTACCACGGACTGCTACAGTGTATCTAATTAAGACCATGGCTTTATATAAAGTACCATAGCCCGAGTTTCCTCTGGCCCTGACACCAGACTTTGTCATTTTAACAGATAAATGTCTCGTGTAGGCCAGACATCTATTCGTCAAAATGTCTAAGTCTTGAGTCAGGGCCAGAGGGAACTCGGGCTAAAGGTACCAGAGATAACCTGACTTTATCTGGAACACCTCGACCCTTTCTTCCTTAAAAAAACCCCAGTGTTTTTAAATGAATAATGATAATACAATTTAATAAATAATAAATAAAAGACTATATTTCAGGTCGATAGCAGTTTGAGTCAAAGACTCTTCTAACAAGTGGTCGACAGTAAAATGTACAATATTTACAACATTTTCTGATCTTATAAGAGCAAGTACCTGTGGCTGGAAAAGCTGGTGTGACCATATATATAAAAAAAAAATATCTTAAAACGGAGAGATAGTGCCCGTTTCGGACTACATGTAGTATATAAATATAGTCATAGGCACTTACAGTATTATGGATAATCTCGTAATGAAAAAATAAATAAATAAATAAACACTAAATAGGTAATTGTCTTTTTCGTTGTTGTTCGTGAATAATTCTAACTTTTATCGAAACTATTACCATTACACCTGAAATGAATAAATTTGAAAAATCCAGAAGTTCCCTTTAACATGCTTGACCGACACATCAATGTGGACATCAACAACACACTGTACACTCCGTATAACAAGGTCTTCTCCATCAACAACACACTGTACACTCCGTATAACAAGGTCTTCTCCATCAACAACACACTGTACACTCCGTATAACAAGGTCTTCTCCATCAACAACACACTGTACACTCCGTATAACAAGGTCTTCTCCATCAACAACACACTGTACACTCCGTATAACAAGGTCTTCTCCATCAACAACACACTGTACACTCCGTATAACAAGGTCTTCTCCATCAACAACACACTGTACACTCCGTATAACAAGGTCTTCTCCATCAACAAGGCCAAGGAAGGCATAGAGATAGTCCTCAAAATACTGTATACGTAGTCAATATATATTACATACATTTTATTTATGTTACAAGAATAATGAAACAAGTAATTTCAACTTATACATTAATCACTCTTGTTGGCCCGGATGTTAGCGTGTGGGGTTCTTAGTGTGGGAGGAAACCGGAGTACCCGGAGAAAACCCAAGTATTCGAGTAGGTGACCCCATACATTTTCACGCCCGATCGGGAATCGAACCCCTGCCGCCTTGGTGAAAGTCAAGAGCGCAACTGCAACACCCGACCACTCTAATATATCAGGGGGATAAAAAAGAACGTTATCTTGATCACATGTTCTTGTGGTATGGCTAGTCATGTTGAAATTTAATAGAAAACAGTTTTCGCACATAAATATAAATAAAAGGATATATAAACAACACAGGGACTTGTGAATTTTTACAGCTATATTTGGACCTTACCTTAGGTGTTCAGATTAATTTAACATTTATTTAAGGGGTTTAAATCGACTTTCGGTAAAAATGACACCACCAATGGTTACCAAAAGTCGATCTCAATCCATAAAACATGTGAAATTAGTCTGAACACCTTAGGTTAGGTCCAAATAAAGCTGTTACAAATTAGCAGGTCCCTGTGGGGTTAACATGTATAACGGGTGAATGTGGAGCGCTAAAAGATAGCGGGACACGACGGAGTTCCGTCCCTTGGGTATAAACCAATAAATTCGAGTTACTTCCCTTCACTATTGCTGCAATAAAACAATGGCAAACCTAAAAAAAGGGATGCGTACACCGTGTTGGATCAGAAATTCGACCTTAGAGTGTCGTTTCGACGAAAACGTAGTCGCTTCAAAATAAAAGACCTAAAGGGTTTATTTGATCCAATCGTGTCCATTAAGTATATAATAGTACTGTCACTCGTGCAAGAACCTGATGGTATCCATTATTACTCAGCGATAGTAAAGACCATGAAATATTATATATTGTTATTTATATTACAGCATCAATCTTTTTATTGATTATTCTCTGTGTCATGGATAACCTCCCTCTACCTTAAACCAAACAGGAAGACGCAGTCCTATATAAGCATCTAAATAGCACGTATAGTCATCTTTTAACCCCCTAAAACACGTATATATTAATATTTTTGTATTTATTTTAAGACGGTTATTGTATTTTTAACCCAGTTATTCTTATGATTCCTTATTAGATTGATGAGATTTCCCGACTGTTGTTTCTCCCTCTCGAGCCCCGAGCGAGCGGGCACATTCGATCAATTCACGCATAGTTGCTGTAGCGTTGCCTATATAGTATGGTGTACTGTATCTTACCAAAAGGTAACGTCTTCTTGTCAATAAACTGTTTGGCATTGCTAATAAAATATTCCCGGGGATTATTTACAAAGCAGGACATAGACCAGATAACATTTGACTTGAATTGAGCTACAACCAATCTGTGTTAAAGATGAGAGCTTGGTCGGCGGGAGGCGAACTTCTCAATCGCGTGGGCGTGTAACAAGATGTTTACCAATCATCCACAGGGTGGGAGCTTATAGCACACCTAAGTTGTTGTTCGCGAGTGAACACGGTGATTTATTTGCAACGAGTTTTTTGTTTATTTGTGTGGAATTTAACGCTCTCGCAATGCATAAGGTCATATGAAGATGGCACATGGAAGTGGTTTGTGTCATCAAAATGCGATATTTGTGCCCCAATAAATGGGGGGGGGGGGGGGGGGGGNAATATTTGCCTTGTTCCGCTCGGTAGGTAATAAAATGTACCACTCTCATCATCAGAGGAAAACATCTTCCCCTATTCCGCTCTGAAGTAAATAAGATATAGATGTACCGAGAACTCATGCAGAAAAAATACACTTCGCCCCGCTCTGCCCTGATACATCTTCAATTCAGTTGTAGAAAGGTTCGCATGAATTGAAGATATCTTTAATTGATTTGAAGATATTTATAATAAAATTGAAGTTCTCTACACTTATTTGAAAATTTGTCAATTCGGCATTCCATGGGGTTAAGGTCATTTAACCAGGCTCTTAACACTGACAAATACATCCCATATAGACACTAACAACACTACACACTGCTGTTTACGTGACTGTCTGTAATTATGGAATTCAGAATTCCTGTTGTGATATTCAACTTCCGGTTTATAACCAGTGGTGTTTGAAATGTCACCGCAGCTATCACATTGTCGTATACTAGGTTTGTGTGATCTTTACAATACTGTGACCTTCGCTCTGTACGGCTAATACACGTAGCTTCTGTACGTAGCTATGCACATTTATGCACAGTGACGTTTTATTCCCCGATGCAACGTCCATTTTTTTCGCCATTTTCTCTCACAAACAGCACGTAAACAAAATTGTCATGCTTATATTGAGTTACAACAGTGTTTATTAGGTACATATTTATGTGTGTGCTCTAAATCCGGAACATTTAGGTACGTGACTGGCTAGACACATGCAGCCATCTTCGTTTCAAATAAAAGAGCATGTGTTTCAGGCGTTTGACGTCACTTCCTGTTACAATTAAGTGTACCCACCTAGAGCGATACACTCAATGACCAAGCGATGTTCAGCTTGTCACAAAAGATGTCTCTCCCCCGTCTCCTTCAACAATGTATTATCTAGCTAACCAAAGCAACCATGCCACTCAAACTGCTTTGCACGCACGCTATACCCGGAAGCTATTGGCGAACAGACAGGCATACCGTGGTTTCTTCAGAACATGAAAGCTATTATTCTCAGCCCTTTCACTTTCACGTCCCGCATCCCCCGACTCCTACGTACATGCGTTATAAAGATGAACTTTCGTAGGCCCCTGCTCACCCCAACACATCCGCTATTTGTTAATCAAAGACTTGGTTCATTTTCTGCCAGCATCCACAGTTTACCTTGATCACGTGCAGCTAGTTACGGTCACAAGCCAGTAAGATTTATTCCATTAAGTACAATACTATCTGCAATCAAGCTTGTTTGTCCTTCCTTCCTTCCTTTCTTTCTTTTTTTTTTTTTTTTTCTTTCTTTCGTACTTTCTGTCTTTTTTTAACAACTATTTCTTCGGTTTGTTTGTTTTGGTTTCACGTTCTCTTGACAGCCAAGGTCATACGAAACCGTTGTTCTTTTTTCTAAAGAAAAATGATGTCTAATATCTTTGTAATCTGGTAAGTTTAAATGAATCACGTCTACCCATTTTGCAAATTCACGGAGGCGAAATTGTGATGGTCTGCGGTAGATGTTGCGGTATCTGTGCTGTAGCATTCAAGTGAGGTGGCACTATAAATGATACCATTTGACAACGGTCCCACTACAAACAGGACACAATACATCTCCAGCACACACGCAGGCATACACAGATAGGGAGATATTATCCAGGTGGCATCTGACTAGTAGTTAGCGCCTGATAAGGCAGCTCCTACGAATTCCTCAAAATTATATTGATTAATGTATATGCTATTTGTATTGATTGTATAAATTGTTTATCTATGTACTGTAAAGCGCTTTAGAGAGGCTTATTCTAGTTATATTTATTATCAACATTCTTGTGACCGTGGGATACCTATGGTAAATTATAATTAGCACTTTGGGGGAAACATCTACCGAGTCACTAAGGAGCATATGTTTTGCTGTTTGCTGAACGATTAGGTCAGAGTGACCATTGTCCAAGGCCAAAAGTTCATGCATGTATATTTTTTTGCGGAGTTCACACAAAACGTGTTTTACTTGATACATTATAGCCAACAGATGTTTTGAATCTGTTAAAAAATAAAACATGTCTCTCAAAATTATAGCCGATCGTGCTGGAACAGTGAAGTAAGCGGTTTAAAGCAAGCAGCAGATCGTTTCGTCTCATTTGAAATAAATGTGACGAACAAACTCTTTAGGAATGTTGTAAAACCGTTGCTGACAAGGATCGGTAAATAGTTGTTCCGGCATCGCGGGGTCTAACAGGACAGTTGCTTCCCTCAACCCCAGTCAATAACAGTATATACGTCAATTCACTTCCAGTGGTTCAGTCGGTAATAGACATCGTCTGTTTTCTTTCTCAGAGGCTCTTACCATAACATTATACTCTAGAATGATAAGATAACCACTTTACGACGGAATCTGGAGATATCCGTTCTCGCCCGCGACACATTATGGACTTTTGAGAATCCCTGTCCCGCTGCAGCCAAAACACTAGAGAGTTCCGATGTGGTTTTTCGTATATGTAGTTACCTCCCCTTACTTTCTCTATTGCTATACCTGTAATGCAATTGGCCAATGACACTCCCTTTGGCCAAATAGCTCAAGCAGTAGAACAATATGTGGTCCTGGGTTCGAATCCTGATCTTAACATGTTGTTATAATTCACATTCGGAACACTGTTGTGTATTTACTCCATAACAAAATATTTTTAGTTTTAAGCAGTGGTACGGGTATCCTTAAATCTGTAAGCGAAGCTGAACGGAATCTTTAAACCACTGCTATAATAGCCAGTGTCGTTTCTTATCAATTATGTATAGTATAAATATATTTGTATTCAATATAATAAAATACAGAAAACTACAAAATTCATTCCAATTTTTTATTCAACCTTCATAATCTAAATTGAACATATTGAAGTGCTACTTTAGAATTATACGCAGGTGTCCAAAAATGAACTTGATTTGGTCGCCCTGATCTTGGTCAAGACTACCTTGAACTCTCTCTCTTGAACTGGCGACCACGTTACACAAGTATCAAAACAAACATGTTTTGCACGTACCATAAATAAATATTTTGAAATTCCCTGTACATTTATATATTTATCCATCAAATGTTTGTAACAGATTAACAGAATTAAAGTACATTATTCCTTACACTGAATCCCTTTAACCCATTCACCCCTACATATCTAATCTGGACTTGCCCACTCTTTCATTTGGTACGGTTCAACGGTGACTTCAGGGGTGAATGGGTTAAGCATCCATTTCAAAATATTTCCTTTATAAAGAACGTTTTGACAGATCAAATACAATATCCAGATGTAACGTTAAAATCATTCACCCCTGAAATTTCATAATGAACTATTCCAACCTTTGAATTGGAAGAGTTTAAATGTGTCTTCAGGGGTGAATAAGTTAAGAGTGTTTAAAATATATACCATATATATTTATCAATGTATCAGAAAGGGATATATAAAACTTCGAAATTGTGCGTATTAATTTCGTATGATAATGAAAATATGTGAAAATATATTTAGATAAAAAACGTGTAACATCTTCATAATATTTTTTTCGTTAGTTTAAGGTGCACTTTGAAAATAAAATTCAAAATGATGATGTATCGATGTTTAGTTACGCGGAAATCTTCGATACAAATGTTTAAGTGAACGTGTGTTGCTTTTTCAAGAAACAAAACCCGATTTTTCCAAGTTTAGACGATATTTTGTATTTTCCTTTCTGTTTATAATTCCTTTTCAAGAGTGGTTTGTATGGTTATTTTCTACAATTAATTTTAAATTTTCTTAAGGATTTTTTTTGTTTATTATTAAATTAATGAATAATTAGTCATTATCTTCCCTAATGAGAGTAAATGTGCATAATTTGTACGTTCAATATAAAATCTATCTATACAAGTGTCTTTAAACAACAAACAAACATGTATACGAAAAATAAATAAATTATGTATTTATACATCTACAAAATTACAAATTCTTGATTCTCAAACACGATTGAATCAATTAAAATTGACACTAAACATGTATCACAGTTAGTCATACTTAAAAATAGTCTATAATTATCACAACATCAAAATCACGTGTCTTTTCTTGCCGAATCATTGTTTACGTTTGGGAACATCTGTTCGGACATCATTTAAATATTTGGGGCGAGTGGGAAAAACGGGTATACTGAATTTTGGAGGGAAATCTAGCAAACCTTTGGTTAACGTTATAAGACAAAACAATGAATTTCTTGTAAAAACGCGGTTAGCATGGTGCCAAAAACGATACTGAATTTCTGATCTAAAGTTTATTTAACATCGATCAATTTAGATTGAATTTCTTATAGACATCCGTTTATTAAGACATCATTTACTTTATTTTCCCGGGCCTCTGTTACAAGATGTAGTGTTTTTTCGGAAATATGTCATTATTGCGGTAACATATAAAAATACATAGTATTTATCAATATTCAATGACAGCTTCTGCAGACATTCATGGGTAAAAAAATGCATAAAACGTGGATCACGTGACAAAGGGTATGTACATCCGGCCTGAAAACGTGACTTCCGGCCATATTGCACCATCTTTTAATACGATCGCCATTGTAGGAAATGTCTCTTACATAAAAATTTGGCGACGGAAACGCATCAATGTCATTGTCCACTTTCTGTGTCTTAACACTCATCTGGGTTTCTCGCCTGCTCATCAGTCTTAAATGGTAATGGTTGCACCGATCAGTGCGATTCGACAACGATAGGTTCAGTAACCCGTATAACAACATATGATGGAATGCAACTCTCGGTAGCCTGTATGTCTATCTAGTACAGTCGTGCGTCGTCAGTTTCAATTAGTGTGCAGCCATATTATGACACCGTATCATCGTCTTCCCGTACACACTCAAGTATCTTGTTGTACGGCAGGTTCAAATCATCCTAAACATTTCTCTCACTGTCCACCATGCCGTCTTAGACAACACTACAAAACTGGCAGCCATCCTTCTTCAATGATTCGCTTGAAGTCGGCCTTAAATGAGGCGTCTGAAGGACAAAAACCCACAAAATGGATGATGTGGTTTTCACCTAGTTTCCTGGGTACTGGGGTGTACGTCAAACTTTCAGGTGAAGGTTAGTACCGGACTCTGCAGCAATTGCACAGGGCTGTGCAATATGGCGGTCTGTGGCATTTCCTCGTGACCAAAGAAAGAAAATGCCGGCGATGAAGATGTCACAAGCCGACACGGGGACGCCGGAGGCGAGTACTTCCTCTTGTTATTTCGCGTTTGAATTTCTTTCTCAAAGTCTAGAAGCTGCTGCAAGAAACTTATGTTTGGTGAAATCACGCTCCGACGAGACTTGACGAATTCGAAAGCTTCATCCAAACTCAGACATTGGCTCTGCATGATGTAAGCCAGACAGATCGTGGCTGATCGGCTGATTCCTGCCTGACAATGCACGAGAGTTTTCCCGCCATGACGCTTGACCTCATCTGGAAATATACAAATATACGACACTGAATATACATTGAATTTTATTTTGTTTTGAAAACCGACTTTAAAATTAAATATTAGCAGAAGATATACTAGCATATGGATAATCGTACTACACAGACACGGGATTGCACATACAATGTACATATACATTTTGGTAATATGTACAGTATGCCAAAAATGAATTACGCTATATCGTACAGCTTCTATCCTACATGTGGGACTCATCGGTGATGCCATTGCCGATTTACCGTAACATTCGATGGTGCTTTTTATGCACGTTTTAATGCAAGGGTATGAATGCATTTTCTGGTTCACTTTAACAGGTGCCTTCGTAAGTTTGAACTCTAATGTAATACTATCCCGGTAACTCGCGAGGAATTCCGAGTGTTTTGTAGCTATCAAAAAATAACCCATCGTGCTTTCAAGATTTCGAAGCATCATCGACACAAAGACTCGCGGTAACTATTGTATAATCATATCACAAGCTCTTATAATGACTTCCCGCAAGCATTGATTATCTAAGCATTTATATGATTTCTTATTCCAATTAAAAGGAGTTCTGCCGCATCGTACAAGTGTTTGCTTGTCTACTGCTGGCTAATACGATTGCATAAGAAACGTGCAAGTCTAATGAGAGCCACTCCATGGGAGACTAAATGATGGGTATTTAACTTCCTAAGTGTGATAATATTGTAATATTGTTAAATGATATTTCATTTGATTTAAACGCATTATTTTCATCTATGTACTTTCGATGTGCTCGACTTCTCACTTTGAAAAAAGTTGATAATAAAAAAAAATCGTGTCTATTCCTGTCTATAAAGTTCCTTTTAGTAACCGCGTGATATTATTTATTACTCCCTAAACACCGATATCTACGTAGCGATTCCATACAGTGATTGTGGTGAGTCTATGTCAGTTTCATCAACAGTGTCTGCCGACGAGCGCGTGGGTGTTAGTTCTATCGATCCGGTCCCGCTCCGTTGACATAATTATAATTTCACACATTGCCAGCACGGCTACTGTAAATGATGTAAATAACGGCCTGCTAAACAGCCATGTACAATCAATGATGGAGATTTACTACAGGGTCAAAAAGGGTTTAGCTAAAACAGTCTTCACACAAAAACCTATTATTGAAATGTATATAGAAAACGGTTGTACGGTATAAAGGTATCATCCTTGCAAGGTAAAACTAAAGAGTGTAAGGTTTCCGAAGATTAGCTTTGATTCTTAATAAGAAAAGATGTCTACGCCTTTGACAGTTTACAAAAATATCGTTTAATGGATTTAGTACCTATTTGTTTCGCGTTGATGGTTGCAACGTGTCTTTGTACTATGCCTGTAAGTCGCTTCTAATAACGACTTTTTAAGGTACCATTTTGAAATGTAAAAATATTTCATCAATACGTATGTCCGATAATAGCTGTGTCCTGATAACAGCTCGCCCACATGTACATCTGTGTTTTGTGTCACCAAACGTGAGTCAGGTTGGGAAATTTCCTTTGGACACTCAACGGAAATTGGCGCACTTAACAACGCCCGTTTCCGGTCAAAAATTCTTTGACATTTTGCTGAACAGGCATGATTAATCGTTTATGAATGAACAGAAAGAGAAGGAGGATGACAGAGTCGTTCATATTAGAAATTTAAGGATGCGTGTTGGCTGGTTGCCATAACAATTTGTCCAGTGCCTTACAATTTAGCTTTCAAACCACAAAACACAATGGCGTATACGTACCTATGAACGTAATGGCTTCCATGAACCAGGTAGATAAGTCAACCAGTGGGTTGTCGTCGACTGGGATATTCTTATACCGGAAGTCGGCGTCAAAATGATTCCGGCAATTGTTTGAAACATTCAAGATGGCGGTGATGCCGTGGTTTAGAAGGACGTCCTTGCCGGCGGCGCTCAGGGCGTTACCGATGTACAGGTGGGGGAGAAGCTCTACCGGCTCAGACTGAAATAAAACGAAGTTTCAATAAATTAAAGGTCCTTTACTATGATCAACATTTTGTAATTACCTCTTGCATGTTCATTACAGTTTTCATTTTAGGGAAGTGAGTTCCGAATGCCACACTCATCTTTATATAGCACGTTAAAATGAACGATTGACAAATTCCACAATTAAGATTATCATTGATATATTTACTATGATGACCAAAAAAAGTTAAGATAACAGAATAGGTAGATTCTGTATATTAGTAATAAAATTTTGATATCAAAAGTGTTAAAAAGTATCATTAAAATATGTATGTGATTTTAAGACAGACACTTACCGGGACCGAGACGTTGCGAAAGAGTCTAGAGTTGGAGGTGTCGATGGCGCTAGAAATTGTATCCTCCTGGTTCTGCTTGGTGCATAGTGACGGAAATTGCTGTTTAAATGTGTTGTAACCACCTGTAATTACACAAAAATACGGTACATTACACACACGTGTAAAACCACACGGTAAATAACACACGGTATAAAGTAAGGCACACGTGACCATACACACAGTAAATCAAAGTTATACACACATGCACATACACATGGTAAATCTCGCACAAAGGTAAATAAACTCACGGTAAAGTACACACACGTAAACAAGCACACGGTAAAGTACACACACGTAAACAAACACACGGTAAAGTACACACACGTAAACAAACACACGGTAAAGTACACACACGTAAATAAACTCACGGTAAAGTACACACACGTAAACAAACACACGGTAAAGTACACACACGTAAACAAACACCCGGTAAAGTACACACACGTAAACAAACACACGGTAAAGTACATACACGTAAACAAATACACGGTAAATTTCACACGCAAGCAGCTCTAACGTTACGCTTAAATAGCATGTAAATTTAAAAAAAAAGGCAATTAATTCAAACAACTTAATTTACTACAGTATCAAAGAGGGTTATTTGAAACAAACGTAAATTTATAGCGTAAAAACAGCAAGCATGACAACGTGGAAAATGTGTTTTAATTCCAGATAATAAGAAAATACAAGTGATTGTAACGGTATGTAATTAGAATATTAAATCTATGTTTAAGATACGTTCAAAACTACACAAGATTCGGTAAACATGCTCACATAATTAAACTACTGATATTTTGGCATAGACGTTAACAAAATTAAAAATAGCTCTGTATTGCAATACTTGTACATATACAATTTATGTCGGGGTACAAATATTCATGGTCCGGATAAACATTTTTAGTATTCTGATTGACACTTACGGTTCTAATTTTAGTGTAATATCAATTAACGTGTAATTTGAGTATAACACAATGTGTGTGACCACAATGAACCCACATGATTTTTTTTTCTGTCAGTATTATAACATTGTCATGGTTAAACACGTGACATATTTACACATAAACAAAGTAATCTCAATTAAGAATTGTTTCTTTGGTGTATAGTACAACATCCGTCAGTAATACATGTATGTTCTGTATTTAATATCACAGCCACGTGCACAGAGCGTTATGACGGATTAATGAATGGATAATCCGTTTAATCTATTTCTGTGTGTATATATACTACATTATAGGCCAGTGTTCTCCGGCTTAATGTAATCACAATACTGCTTATGTGTCCTATAAGTAATCTACCGAGGGTGGTTTTGAGGAGTGTCACCCATTAATTATGTATACTGCAACATATACTAAAGACATTCCCACAATGACACACTGTCTGATGCACGTGGCGGTGTTAGGGCATGTCTCGCATAAACACGTGGCGATGTATATTAAATATGAATGACAGTGTGTTTGTATACACCTCATTAATAACATAAGTAATAAGTGGATCACTGTACTCAGACGTTCAGACGCAGCTGGCTCCATATGTACAACGCCAACGTCTGCTATTTCCGGACTATAATGTAAAGTCAATATCATTTACTAATCAGTTTTAATTGGTTATCTATGAGGAAAAAAAACGTGCAAGGTAACAGCTTATTTGTTTGGGGTATTGTTTGGCAACATCAGTTTTTGCAATTTTATTACCTAGATCACTTGCAAAGGATAATAAATTGACACAGATGTTCTGCATACTTCGCTAATAAAAGACGCGAGTTTTTACGGTAAAAAATCATGATATTATACATTATGGTACTTCATCCAAATATGGATCGCTTAAAGTAGGTGTGGGAAGTATCACTTGGCAATTAGATTGTTGTACTGTACACAAATATGTAGGCTGGGTAGGGGTAGGGGTGGGGGCGTGACTCCCTCTGATTTTAAATAAATCAGTTAAGACGCTCATGGGTGGACACGTCTACAGTGGGTGCCCCGCCCTGTTCGGCGGTATGTGTAAGTTAAAATAGGGGGAAATGTGGGGAAAATAACATTAAAATACTGGAGGTAGGTTTCTTGCCCTCTCCCATCTTCATGGACGTACAAATGTATGTATCTAATTATCTATAAATATTACCTATATATGGTCGCCCACAACTGACCAACAATGACCTGTACGTACTGATGACAGACCGTCACAGGTGTACAGTATATACATGTAGATCTTTTTCACACCTATCAGCAATAAACATCACGACCCATTCCGTCACAGAAATGGGAATGGTCAGTCATTTACAATGTAACTTGTAATCGTCGTCTTTATTTAGACTCTTTCGTCTGTGACGACCACAATAGAAACCGGGTACGTCTGTAATTGTTTACGTACAAATACGTATATGGTGATCGTGCTATATTCATGGATAGACCACGCACCTGTTGTGAATGACCATGATCCAGACGGGGGGCTTATTTGTATACCTGTTAGCTATATATATGTACACGTCAAATATTCAAAGTATAATGACCAGTGATAGCGATAATTGAAATTCCCATTACGTGATTATGACACACCTGTCGGTCACTATCGGCCGGAGTGGTCAAACACCGGAACTCTACAACGTCCAGTTGTTGACTCAATGGTCTCTCGAGGGTATTCTCACATAACTCGCGGTCATCGTCATACTTCATGATGTTGGTTTAAATACTTATTACTCACTAAACGCTGGACAAAACACGTAGTATTGGCCGTAGCAAGATATTTTTTTCATATGCCAAAGGCTTAATTACAAGTTATTTAATATCAAGCTCGGCAGTTCAAGAAATACAAGCTTTAGGCTGTACAGTTAACGTACTAAGCTGCGGTCAGCCTCCCACCTTCAATCTGTTACAACTGAGGAAATCTCAATGAAAGGATGGGTCAGATATACCACATCTTTGTTTTTATTTGGGATTGACTCTCCATACAAACAGTTTTAGATTGAAAATCGTTATTCTATCTGATAAAATAAATAAATATCAGTATTTTAATAATTTCTTCCATATTTTCGGAGATTTCGGCCGATCCCGACCCAAACCGCCGGAAACGTGGATACGTCATTGTATGTACTTTATATAAACTCCCACGAGATTTATAATCGAGTAAAAACAAGAGTTAAGGTTTCAATCCCGTCAATTCACACCTATTGTTAAAACCCCCGTGGCAAATATTGTGGATATAATCGGCCATCGATCTTTGATCGATAAAAATCGGATATTGATAGTTTCCGGTGCGATCGGTCAACCGGTCTCCGCTTTATTTATTATAAGACGTGTTAATTCCATTGCCCGAGGGCTTGGCCTCGAGGGTTTCTAATTAGTTTTAATAAGAGGTTCAGTCCATTCGGAAAATCTGTTTCAGCTACAGAGACCCGCAATATGTAGGAAAGTGTCAAGACTATATCTTAAACCAAGGGACAGTATATACGTCCCTGCTTAAACCCAATTGATGAAATGCCACTCATCTATTTTCACATGTGTAGGAGTGGCCCTGGTCATTAATATTAATAATGTCACAATACACGTTGAGTTCAGATAACGAATTCAATTTCACTTAAACAGGAAAAATATCTTATTTCTTGTTACTTCGATTCTAGCGGAAAGTTCAGAGGAAACTTAGAAATACTGACACCACGTATATATATATAGGTAAAGCAAATCGAAACATGCCTGTCGCTAAAAGTATCGAAAACATCATCTTCGGGGGAAGTGCGAGGCATGAAATCGATAGCTTTTAAGTATATTTATGAACTCAATGTATATCCAGCGTCCGTACCCACACTTAGAAGTACCGGCGCGTTCGATCCTATCTCTGACACCTATATCTTAATGTACTGGCGCATTCCTATATAACCTGGGGACTTAGATATTGACAGGATATCCCTATTACTTCGGCCCAAGTGTAGATTCTCGAACGGACCGAACTCCCAGAACTTCAGACGACCGTAAATAACGATATATATATGTACGCTTTAGGTTACCTATTTCAAAACAATTCACACACAACTCGAATGGCTTCGAATTATTTCCTGTACTTCGTATCTACACAAAATCAAAATCAATTTTAAACTTTTCATCTATCTTCAAAAGAAGTGTTTCGTGAGGACCGGAAACAGATGATATATTTAATGCATTTAAGTAGGATAAATTAGTTTTTACAATTTATTTCATCTCTATTGATAAGCGGCGGAGTAAATCAGTTCCCGGCGTTAAATATCTACCGCGTGTTATCAACTTTCCCAGGTGCTCGGCGGTTCATTGAACAGCGGAAGTTGTGTCTATATTTACCACAATTGTATATCCTTTCTTTCAATTTAAACTCGGAGTGACTGAGAGGGCGATGCCTTCATTAATCTTAAGCGATCGTTTTATAATGATCAAAATTATCTGAACAATATTTGTATTGTTTACTTGACCAATAGACCGACTATTGTTACGACCCACTAGAAAACAAGTGTTCAGTCACTGACCGACCTTACAATAGATGTGTGTTCATAGGCCAATGAACCTAGACATATAATACATCAGTGTAAATCGCATAGAAAGCTAAAATGTTCAAAATGTCGTATCTGTAAAGCCATGTGATTGGAAATAGAATTTTCAAACGGAGCAAATGTAGATTTCATTGATTAATATTTTGTTATTTGCAGAAACTACAAATATTTTTGTAAGATATGGTCCCATATCATACATGTATGACGTTTATCTAGACTGATATAAAACGGAATGGAATGTAAATATTTTTGAATTTGTATATCAACTACATACACTTTATCTCCTAAACTGCAGTATTTACGACACAAACCGCGTCAGTGTGACGTACCACATGACCACATTCCAAGAACATTTTAATCTTACCGTGTCTTACACATTTTTGCTTATATGTCGCAATTTATTATTTATGTACGTTTAAATTGGATTTACCTGTCCTACCTGTAAAAGAAGCCTACGTTTATGTGTCGCTTGTCTATTCCTTTGTTTTATTTGTAATAAAACACGGGTCAATGTGATACCGCGTAAAAGAGACAACGCCCTGTGTAGCATATCACAACATTAGAAATACGATACGAAACTCGAATCTATGAGTTTAACATGATTCGTGACCTGTAAACAGGATGTTCATGTCCCAAAAAAATCTCGTTTAAATTCTTTCATGTCTACGGCTTGTAATTATACTTATGATAAAATCATCTGTGATGTTTTGTGTTTATTTAGGTTCAAAAATGTATAATGACAATTAGTTTTTCAACTTGTGTTCGATTAAAATTTGATTCAAAAACTTTTTTTTTACTTTCTTTCTCATCTAAATTGTCTTTGATAAACTTCCAGCATGGTCTAGCTATTTTAAGAAAGAATGAGCATTGTTTAAAACAAAGTAATTGAAATTTTAAGTTATACTGTACAAATAAACGTTCACGTTTTTAACACCGGTATTTATTGATGAGAGTTGACTTTCTTTTCTGGTTTATGGTCTCGTGAACGAAATGAACCCATATGCCACTAAACGATCGTTCATGTACCAATAAATACATTCGGATGTATCTCACTACTGCTGTAGCGCGGACCACCTCCGGTGCTAAGCCCTGCCGCTTCAGAACTTCCTGCATGCGATACCACAGGATTTCGATGTACGCTGTGATAAGCCTTGATTTATCAGCAAAGACATGAAGCACTCGGATAAGAGTTGTAATTAGTCCCGAAATCCTACACTCGTATCGAACCATATACACACGCTTATATTAAGAGATGCATTTGTACACACACCGAGTAAACATAACCACACACACACACTTTCAAAATATAAAACGCAATATCAAAAATGCCTGAGACAACGAAAATGTAAACAATCTCTATATATATTCTTAAATTAGTCCGAATCTAAAATAAAACAAAATTGAAAATGTACACCGAGATCTGATCATGGTGTTAATGAAGTGGAACATTAATACAGTGTACATTTTGTATTTACAGTAAAAAGGCCAAACCTACATTTGACGATTAGAATCAAAACACGTTTTTTCGTGAACAGAGACTTAGACACATCATGCTGCACGACAGATTGTCATCACTGACGGAATTAAGAATTAAGCCTGTTTTATTAAAGAAGATAAAATACAATCTGTACGGATGTAGGTGTTGTACACATCAGAAGATCGTATCGGAAAAAAGCCGATTTGTGGGATGCAGATTTACTGACACGATGTGTCTATATTACTCAGAAGGAAAAGCCGATTGACTGGAATATTAGCTGTTAATAGTTTCTATTTAATGACCGTGATCCCAACATCAAATACATCTCTTTATCAATGATGTTTCTGACAATACAGAGTCGATTTTTTTAACACGCGAGTTTTAAAACACGATACTATATGAATGATTTTACTATTGATTTGAGTGGTGAAATGGATATTTTAGGCACAAGTATAGCTTTGTACATTTCCATTCATAGCCAAAGATATATTTCATGAAATATGCATTATCAATTTATATCACATATTAACAAACTTTGGTTCGCTGTATTTGCTTCAAAGTCTAATGACCAATTTTCAATGATACATAGAAAATACTACAATCTATATCGACGTTAAAAATCAGCAAAAACATATAATTTGTTAAATGAAAATCTAAAAACACGAACTAACAATTTTATAAAACATAGACTTTTGCAAACAAACATTTTGATTATAAATTTAAAATTAAAATTAATACAATTTTATGTTTTAAATAAGTAAAAAGCTCACCTTTTAGTATTAAACATTTTGCATCTTTGGCGAGCTTGCATAAGGTACGGTAGACGATGTTGAGGTCGGAAATATCTACCCCCAAACCGTTGTTGTTTAGGGTGTTCAGAGAAGGGAGACACGGTCCTTCCTGGTCGTAAACAACAATCGTAGAAAATTGTCCAGATATGAGTCTGTTTTTCGTTTCCACTCCCAACATGGACTCAAGGTGAACTTGTCCGCCGTTTGCGAATCTCCTCTTTAAAATTGGGGGGCAATACATATTGCAAGCCCCGGTTATGTGTTCTTCATTGTACGCTATGTATGGGCGACTGTCCACAATTAGTACCTTACTAGCTGTTTTTGAATTCACCATTTCGTTTTCCATCACCTGCTTCAGCTGATAAACGTTAACTCTGAATGCCATAGTATTGTGATACGTTCCTTGTAGTTGCGTTAGTGTTGATATCTCACCGCCTGCTTAGTAAATACTGGAATGTAGCCGAGTTGTGGTCGTAGCCCATTCATAAAACTGCTTGTAAATCAAGCGCCTATATAAACAGCAGGAATGAAACCCTTCCGGCTGGTAAAATTATCATATGCCTAATTTGGGCGGACGGTTTACTTACACACTGCGCGTTGTAATGTAGTTCTACACCTTTACAATGCTATTGGTTAGAATATACGTGTACAGATCAATAAAGTCAGCGTTGTAGATATAACTGGCACGTATCCAATTGTTCCTTTGTCCTTGTAGACTATAAGAAAGATAATGATGGATTTCAATCTGCGTGGCTTTTATGAATGAAAATCCTCATACCATTACGTCATCATATCATTTTCATCCGCGATTGGAAGCCCCGCCTACCAAAACCTTATTTAGCGCCCACGTTTCCTTCCAGAGTAGCTCTACCGGATGTAAACAAACCTCAACCATGTGAATGAGCTCGATACAATTAGCAGACGACAGCCCCTGGCTTTTCCCGCCTGATCGGGTTCGTTAGCAAATTACGATGTAATATCATGACATAATTTTCCACACGGATGAAAGGGACAGGTGCAATTTCTCTTCTCGTTCGACAGAAAATCAATGTTCTGTGTGCGCGGAGAATTTACTTAGGTAGGCGTTTTTTTTTATGTGTTTCAAATACATTGCATGCGGTAAAAACATTTCGACATGCATTTTATGGTGTATAGTTCCTGTAATTTTTGGTGATTAGCGCAGCGCTATCAGGAAATTTGGTATTGACGTTATCTGCTCTATTGAAGATATGCGCCATAATGAATACACCTGAAAATTTCCATGGTCATGCTGTATTATTATAAACCATGCACTTGTGATTATTGGTTTGTTTCCTGATTGAAATAAAATACTTTGGATGTATCATAATATATTTAAAAAATAACAATGGTCTTTGATCTTAATTCGATCGTAATTCGACATGAACTGATTCTATTTATAGCACTGACTGATCCGGGGATTAAGTCTTTGAAATCCAGAACACATAAGCATTTATTACAGCTATATACTTTGACATCGTTCAGGTAGCATTTTTTTTTTTACCGAAAGTTGATTTAAACCCCTTAAACATGTAAAATTACTCTGAACACCTTAGTTTAGGTCCAACTAAGCTGTAACAAATTCGTAGGCCCCTGTGGTCCGGAAAACATTCCTTTACAACTTCCTGGATCCGCTTCAGTACAGGGTTACCGGAGAAAAAAACAGGATGTACGTTTAGGTATCTCCTGATGTAAGAGAGAAATCTATGACGTTTTAGGGGTTTGTATCAACACTTGATAACCACCCCCCTAATGATAGTACTTACATGTATATATGCGTGTAATTCAAACGAATCGGGATAGGTCCGAACGTCATTTACCCTGTATTTTGTTCTCGGGGGCCTTATACCCTCCATCACAAACGGAAACTGCATAGTTTGGAATGCAGCTTTATTATCTGGCTTCGAAGATGTTGTGGGAGGGAGATTTGTCAGTTATGTGAAAAGTTAAGGTACTTCACTCAAAGCGTCAGATTCCTCGCAATGTAAGGAATAGCTGTTACTACGGTAGAGAGTGAGGTCAGAGGGCAGAAAATATCGATATCGCCTCACTTAAGTAGACTCCTTTACATGAACCTATAAATAACAGTCCTTTGTGTAACCGCGATCATTGTTTTTTTCTGCGGACTGTCGTGTTTCCGAGTGCCTTGTACACCCCCATCCCCACACCCTCATGTTTTTTTAGTACAATTACAAAGTTAGTTGCCCCTCCAATGGCTTTTGGAGTTCAATATAAAAGACAGACCTTCAAAAATGGGGGAATATTGAACTATTTTGGGAGTATAAAAATAGGGGTTTCAGAGAATACCGCTGGGGGCAAGGCAAAGACTAACCCCCACCGTTATATGCTGACCACAGGGCAAGGCACATACTGTATTTTGTAGTACATGTATTCTCCGAAAGCCCCATTTTTATACTCAAAGGGGTTAGTTTGTGTCTTGTCCCTGTGGAGAATACACTTGTGCCTTCTTTTAGGGGTTAACCCAGGTTTTCAGCTAGCAAGTCCAGTGCTCTGTTTATTGAACTACATGTAAACGAAAATCCCCATTGGCTAAGTGAGGAAGAAATGACCAGATGTGTGAATGCTGTGATATATATTTAAATCAATAGTCCATTTCCCTGTTCTGGCCCTGAAATCTCTGATCGAAATGGCTCCCTGAGAATAGGAATATCTAAAATGACCTCCCTAAACAACGGAAGCTGTGCGTGCATCGATACACGAGATAAGGGGGTTATCTCCACGTTCAAGGCGCGAGCGTTGCCGTGGGGTACTGCGCACGTGTTGGTTATTAGAACAATTATAACCGGAAACGTTGTATCTGTATTTTAAGTTTTCCTAATCAATTATGGCTGTCGAAAACCAGGAAGTTCCCGACACTTGACGATTTTTTCTGTCGACTTTACTCACCTTTATTGTTTTCCATTATGAGGTTAGTCAAAGTTATTGCACCCTTCCGATATCAGTTGAAATAATTTAGTAGCATCCCTAAACTCCGCCTTTCTGATTGTCAGAAACATAAGAAAAGATAAGACAGACAATTAGCTTTCCCCTATATCAAGCCAATACATTGGCCCCGTCGGTCCGACAGCACAGGGACGTGAGAATTAGCTACAGGACGTATGTTTTGATTAATGACTGTTTTTTTCCCTTTGCTCTGCCCCGTCACAAATATAACAAGGAGATAATCAGTTATTTTTGGATTAGTTTAGACCTATCTTCACTCGTGAAAAGTAATTTCAGCGTTTTTAAGGCGATAAGATAAACCTTCGGTAAAAATCATATCCCGGCCCTCTTTATTCGTATAAACATAACCATCTATATACATAGGGATATGATCAAATGTACGCCGTTTAAACTAATTCGCAGGCCACTGCGTCCGGAACATAAAAAAAATATTTAAAAAATGAACCTTATCCTGCATTTTTTAAAACTATTTTTTGTTCTAGGCCACGTAAAACCCAATCAATCAAATAATTTCCTGGCCCGGTACGTACCTGTAAAATAGTCCCTTACCCCACCCCCTATCGTATTCCACGTGTCTCAATCCCCGACCGTCAGTAATTATTATGTAATGACTTATGACAGCCTAGTTAAAATTCTCATTATCGTTATCCTGTCATATTTCGCCTACGCATGGTCTCAACTAATTTAGTGTCGAGGAAATAAAAAATAACACGTCCTATTTTGATAGGAGATTTGTGTACAGATAAAAACACCTACTGGTGATTTTCTTTGTGCTCAAACTGCACGGTCATTTCTAATTATAATACTTACTTAAAGTTTTTGATTCCGTTAGATTTGATTATGCAATATGTTAGTAGTATATGGTATATATAGGAACTTACATGAGTTTCCATTTCATATGAGATTTATTAAACGAGTCTAAGAGTTTTTTAATTTAGCGAGCCTCTGGCGAGCTAAAATGAAAAATTCGTGACGAGTTTCATAAATTTCTTATGAAATGATAACGAGTGTAAAATCCTTTTTTTATCTCATAATCAAGATGTGTGGCATTTATTCGTGAAAAACGACCATCTTCATGCAACCTCAAAATGTAAAGAGCCGTCATTTTGACTCCAGTGCGTAAAGTTTGTGACGTCATGTACTTGTCCTAGGCGTGACGTAACAATTGAAACAATGGAAACTTACAAGTGTACAACCAATCACAAGGCTGATATAGGTCATATTAAATGGGTTAATTCGCAAAAATATATGACATGGGTATATTCACTGGATAACACAGTATATTATGTGATAAATATGTACATGTATATACTTGTATATATATCCGGTGTCAGATTTACCGTACCTAAACTAACATCTTTACGTCACTTACTGTGCCTGAACCACGCCTAAATTAGATATATAAAAAGAGGATCCCCGTACCACTGTTAAACTGTAGTTACACATTGGGAACTATTTTTTTTCTGGAAAAACAAAACCTTTGATTTCTTAAAACAAAACCATAATTTGCGGGACTGTTATGAAAAAAAACCAAAGATGAAATAAACAAAATATAATCAACAAACAGTGTTCTGAGTGTAAACTATTCAGTGAGATGAGACCGGGATTCGAACCCCGGACTTCAAGCCCCAGTAGTTCAAAGGTTTTTAAGAGTTAACCGGTTGTTAGGGAAAATTTATGAAAATATGAATACAAGAAAATCAAGAAGATTTGTCGAGACGTATTAGAATTGCACGTTTTGAAGATTTATTTCGTTTTTAAAGATTTTACTTCTTAAAGACAACAATTTGAATTTTTCACTAACCACTGGTTTTATGCTATTGTAATGCTGCGGGGATATAAAGGTTCTTCTCATTTATAATAACGCCATGTTTTATCTATATCGTGTATATTTCATATATTACATGCGATGGTTCGAAAGGTCACCAGAATTGATGACACGCTCGAAAGGTGCACAATAATTGATGACAAATTTGAAAAGCACATATGTTATTGTTATTTTTACATATATGTTTGTCGCAATAATGGCTCTCAAGAGCTAATGTTCCTTGTTTACCTGTATGCGACGTTAAATACAGTTTCTTGTATCTTGTATCTTGTACATAAGAATTTAAAACACTTTTTTGATATTTTAATAACGTTCAGACAACCGATAATGATTATCAATTTAGGTAACATATACCCTTAAGGAGAATCATATCATCGACGAAAAAAACCCAGTGCAGAATTTTCTATAAAAACACAGAAACAAAACTGGTATGTTTAATTCAAAGTAAGTGTGGGCCCGATTGAGGAAAATGGGGGGAGGGGGATATTGGGGAGGTCAATACGCTCCCTTAACATGTAATCATGGATCTGCTCCTAGTAGGGGTTGGCTGTAACGTTACCGGACCTACCATGATGAGATACACCAACAACAGACGATATTGTTCCAACAACTAATTACAGTCGGCTATGGGACGTTAAAGGTTAAATAATGTTACGCCGTATTACACTGTCTTCGCGTTATATAAAGATCTCTACTCTTTGATAAGACGTTTCACGCAGCCGATACCGATGCCGGGTCATAAAATCTTTTATTTCCTTTCCTCTTTCTTTCCTTTTACACCGATCTTCCGGATATACACAGCTCCGCGTTACATCCTGTGTTTAATTAGTATAAACGGAAACGCTTGTTACATTTCCGCTCTCACACCTGTCCCTCAAAGCGAGGCCGTGCACAGATAA